TCTACATTCTCATGACAGCATTGTTATGTCTGATGTGCGAACTACCACTACGATAGGAAGCATAGGTTAGGTTAGAGTAAAGTGGCAGTATAGTGCACTAAAGATCACTTTAATCTAAAAAGGAGAACGTTATCCCTACACCGTCCGTATATCAGACCTTAAGAACCACCTTACAGAATTTCTATGAGAAGTTAGAAGACCTTCGTTCAATTAGAAGTCTATACATTTGGCTTTCTGCCCAATTTAAAAAAGTGAAATTTCTGTCAAGTCAGTTAAAAAAGACATCATAAAGATTTGAAATGTTCTGCTAGCCAATAATAGTGACTGACTTATAAAATGAATTATAGTTTAATGCTCAGCCGCAGGGTCACAGCCCCGATAAAAATTGTTAGAGGGTAAACCTAGTCTTTTTGTTTGTCTTCCTAATACTAAATACCCTGTCAGCACCGACACTGCAGTATCTCATTAATTCGGCTTTATTTGAAGCAGTTGACTAGTACAAATTTTGTCTTATTTAGATAAAATTAGGTTTTGTGATCCTAGAAAAATCTTTTTTCATTCAGACTTTCCCTGCTAACCCGATTTGTATTTCACTTGTAATTTCTCGACTGCAAAAGAAATACTAATATTAAGAAATTAAATTTTAAAGAACACTGTGCTTAATTTGGTAAGTTAGTCTGATTAATATTTCTTCAATACAGTTCTTCTCCGTATTTAGGTACACATATGAGTTGGTGACTGATAAGCCCAAATAACTCATTAGGAGAATTCCGGCATTGCTGAACTACAAGACAATCAACTCTTAAGCGTATCAAAGAACTAATGGGTAAAAGAATTAAAATTTTAATAGCAACAATGAACTTACACATAGCTAAGTTGCTATAAAACACATATGGTCAACATATATAAATTATTTGAAACGTTTGGAGTTATTTGCATATATACAAAACATGTATGAATTATTGACTTTGAAATTATACAACTGAAATTGAGCATTAATAACTAAAACATGACTTTTATGTGTTAAAAGTCAATGTATATATAAAATATGAGATCCAAAAAGCGAAGATCCTATTCCCGATTATGGTTCAATAACTTAAATATACTTTTTCATAAATATAGCTAAAAATTTTATAGTAAATAAATGGAAAGATCTAAATCAATAATATAGCTTAAACTTTTATAAAACTTTTAAACTTAAAGATCAAAATCAGGCTTATGACAAATAATAATAAAAAAAGAGTATCTTCTTCTTGGCTACAACACATAAAAATTACTGGTTAATCATAAAAATCTGCCCATTAATGAAATTCCTGGAAGTTGATACTTCATGTTTGGTGTATTTTAAAGCAAAAAGCTTATAAGATGACCATTATAAACTGAGTGGTCATAAAAAAACAATACACAACTTAATATCATTATCTTGAACAGTCTTACAGAAAGACTGAGGCATTTCGTTGAATCCAGCTTATTTACAAATTGTAAAAATGCATGCAGAAGTTAAAAAATAATTCTAATATATTGTTTTATAATACATATTGAATTTATTATAAAACATATTGCAATAATTACTTAAAATATTCTGAAAATGTTGAGGCATGTCGACCCATACCGAATATATGTAACGTGCATTAAGAACTTCTTGGAGAACTTTTCAATCTACACATACTGATTATGTGTTAATTAGGGAATATATAACGTCATTTGATCTAAATAAAATAAAATTTTATTTAGAATTACTCGTAAAAAACTCAAATAATTATTTTATACCATATATGCAATTTTAATACAGAAAATGAGTTTTTATTATATATTACAGGTAGAACTCGGACTGTTCATAGCTTTAAATCAAAAAAAGGATTAATATGTTATAAATTTATTTCAAAATAATAAAATAATAAATTCTTTTAATATATATATTTTTGATTTATTTTTTTATATTAACATAAAATATTTTTTTTTTCATGCAGTTTTAACAGCACTTTTTTTCTTCAGATTATTTATTACTGTCATTATTGCTATTATTTTATTTTCGTTGTTGTTGTAATGCATATATACGTGTATGCACAATTATGATTATAAGTAAATAAGTTTTTTGAGATAAAAGCTCATTATTTCTAATTTTATTTAAATATTGTATGTAAAGAAACTTAAAAATTCCTATCTTAATATTATTAAATTAATTAATAACAAATTTTTAATTTATATTTAAAAAAAATTAATTAATGTTTTGCTTGAAAGAAAAGATTTTTTTCAGTGTTAAACTTATTAATAATGTCAATAAATAATCCTAAAGATATCAATTTCATTTCCGATTATTAATTAAAACAACAACAAAGGTCAAAGATAAGTTATCCCTAAGTTCAATATATTCAACATTTATTATTTCACGACTAAACATTTATTTACTATTTATTTAAAAATTTATTTATTTAAAAAGTTTTATTTATATAAATTATAATATTGTTGAAAGATAGATAAAAGATAAACATTATTACGCTAATCAAAAATATGTGATAGTATGTGTTGTGCAGGATACGATATCTGTTGCACTTTGTAAATATTTTAGCAAATTTTGAAGGTCCAATATATATAGTTGTGGATATAAAGTATTGACAAATATGTGCACTGATAATTAAATTTAAATTACATCAAATCCAGCTTTAGGTACAGCATTTCTGCAATACAGAATTTTTTCATGCAGTCAAAATTATAATATAAAGTCAAGATCGATTCTCTTTATTGACTTCTATATGTGTGAACCAAAGCGTAAACAGTTCATCAAACTAATACACAGCAGATTTTATCAACATGCTTAAGTACTAAATATAGATCTGCTCTAAAATGCTTTGTAATAGCACTGAAACTAAGTTCCTCTCCAATAGAAATACATATGTGAAGCTTTAATGAATCTTAAATTTTAGCCCTGGAATACATTTCAACTGTGTATAATATAAACAACATAATTATTCTTTTATATATAGAGCTTTTAATCCAAACAAAGAACCAGTTGAAAATTTTGAAAAGGTTAATTATATGCATTTGTTACATGTACCATATATCAAATTAAAACAAGCTTACGCTACACTTCATCTCATGACTTCGTCTATATAGTTTCCGTGAAAAAACTAAACAGAAAATAGCTCTAAAGTGGTTAATAATAGCACTAAAATTTAAAATAATTAGTTTTTCATCGTGTTTATTTATTAACTTTATTATACAGTTTTATAAACAAAACTACACTAATAGATGTAAAAAATAGGTTCGAAATTACCGAAATTAGTTTATTTTTATTACGATAACCGACAATATAAAATATTTTTGAGAACTGCCAGTTTTAAAATATTTATTTTTGTATTACAATATTTATACATATTGTAAAATATTGTATAATATAATTTATATATTACATTGTATATTAGACAATAACGAAACTTTTATTTTTCTTCAAATACTTAATAAAAAATAAATAAATTATTCATTGGATAATGATTATAAAGAAGTATAGTCTAGTCTAGAAGAAGACTGGAAGGAAGTACATATTTATTATATATTAATTTTTGTGAATTAAAATAGTTCAATCAAGTTTAATATTGAATCGATCTTCATCTGACATATTCGTTAGAGTTTGTCTTCAGCGGTCTGGAAAACAAACTTAAAGAAGATGTGTCGAAAGAAAAGACTTTATGGATTTAAGGAACTACTTGTCGAAATTATCAATTTTAGAGATCTTAACAAATTATTACGTACGATAGTTACAGAAATGTTGGAAAAGCTTTTGAATGGTTGATTTGACTTAAAAAAAAATATGTTATTAAATAAATGTTATGTATAATAATATGATTTTATAGGTTATGTCATAGGTATGCCAAAAACACCACTCTTAGACCATTTAGATCCATTGTGATACCAAATCAGAGTCTTATTTCTAATGATAGTATACAAAACTCAGGATGCGCGTGTTATTAGCGAATTGTATTGGCATGTGCTCTAGTCCTGTGCAACTGACAGCCCTCAAGTTTTTTTGTCGAATTTTCGAGAGAGTCAGGCAGTTATGCAAAATATGCTCTAGAGTTTCCTTTATGTAATTTTATCAGACTGTTTATTAAGTGTCGTCCTATCATTAAAGAAAAATAATCACTATCTTTGGGAGCAAGGTTTTAAGGGTGACCATTTTTAATGTTCTCAGGTATTTATTCTATTTTTATTACTGAAAATTTTATAAGAGTATAAAAGAAATTTTGATTTTTAAAAGAATTTTTTTAAGAAGTACACCATGATTAGTTATCCACAGACGTCGAATATTTCAAAATAGCCATGCACTATATAAAGTACCAAATTCTTTATTTTTTATTTCCCTCCTTCTCATCCTACAATTTGTCAGCAGTTTTGAAAACCTTTATTCGTGAAATATTTGATAATATAAATAACGTAAGCATGCGAACTCATTGGTATATATATTATGTGTAACTATTGTTTAAGAGTAAGCGACACTCTTTAATTATAAATGGAAGTTCGCTTTCTTCACAGGAAGTTCAATCAGCAATTAATGATGGGTAATCTAAAACCTGAACCAACGGCTTTTGAAAGGTAAACTCTCCTTTCCACTGAATTCGCTTCGACTAATCACTAAGCAAATGTTTATGTTTGAAGGTAATTCGAGTTATGACTGTCAGTGCACAGTCATAACTCATAAAAAAATGTATTTACAGTGCAAATTCCTGTCAACTTCCTTCCTCTGTGTCGTCTATAAAAATGGTTAGACGTTATTTATTATGATTAAGTATCAATTTGCATAAAAAAACAGCAATATATCTTTTCTTTCTTCTCATAATATAAACAATATAAACAGAATATTTATTCGTAAGAAACGAGTTAGTATTAATATAAACAAAACAAAAACTTGTCTTCGTTTCAATATAAATATTTATGGAGGGAAAAAATTGAAATTCAGTTAAAAATTAACTTGTTCATTTGTGTTCACGAAGGGAAGCACTCACCTGAGTGATTTTAAATTGTCTTATTGCTTCTGTGTTTGTGCCTTTGCGAATAAATAAAATTGCTTTTGCCGTTTAATTCATTAAATGTGGGTTCGTTTAAAAGCCGTCCGTGTTCCGCTCTCTAGCTCGCAAAAACAAAACGTATTTATTTATACTTTTCTTGTTTATTTTGTGCCAAGTTAATTTAACCTGTTGCTCTTTTGCTCTTAGAACTTTTAATAATCACGCAAAAGCAAAAACAAAAACAAAACAATAGCCGTTTCAATTCTCACTTCGTTTCACATAATTACTTTTCACTGGGCCAAAAACTTTACGCAAAAGCTTGGCTTAAATATTTTGCTTAATGCCGAAAGAGAGGGAGAAATAATAAAATGAGTGTGAGTACGATTACTTCACTGTTTAAATATTTTTTTAATTTTTATTTTAAATTCCTTAAGCAAGATCAACACCTTTATTCTGTTTACTGGTTAAATCAAGTTAGGAATACGCAAGCACAAACGTACATACGTGCAGGAATACACATGCATATGTTGGCAAATGTGTATAAAAATATGCACATACACGTTTGCAGATATGACGCACTGGTGGGCAGCAATTTGCTACACACTATATTATGTTTCTAAGCCAAGCTAATAAAAATTAACAACATAAACCGATAAATTTAGAACGTTGCCTTATTCATATTTTTATTTCTTAACAAATTTGTTGGCAGTATTTTTGCTTTTGTTTATATAAATTGTAATTGTTTTTCTTTTTTTTTTTGGTTAAAAAAGTATTGTTGTGCTTAAGCGGCATATACAAATCAAAAAAAAAATAAAACAATAACAATTCGCATGCAATTGTATTTATGCAACTATGCAAATAATTTTTATTTAATTATTTATAAATAAATTCTTGTGATTTTATTCAACAATTATTTAAACTGTTATTTTTATTAACGCAGTCGTTAAGATGGCCGCAATCAGAAATTAACTTCAGCATAGTTTCATTTCACGTTTACCGCTTTTCTGCTTCAAATTACTACACACTGCACTACAAACTTGTATTTACCTTTCTTTTTTTTATTAGTACATTTACATTATTATGTTATTCATGCTATTTTCTTGCAAATTCTTAAATCATTTATGAAAGCAACACATTTCATTGTTAACTTTTCTATAAATTAAAAATAAAAAACGAAATACCGCTATTTGTTCGTTACGCCTCACTACCGCGCTGCGACAATTTATTCAAATGAAACCGTACACACACATTGCTTTGGCATAACCACAAACCCGCTAAGACGTTAACGAGCACAAATTTGAACGATGACTGAACAAACCAAAATGTTGTGAGAATAGAAATGCCCCAACGAAACGTGATGAACACGAAACAATGGAGCATACTTTGAGCTTTACTAATCACAAGCTTTTTCGTGATAAGTTTATAAAAAAATATATGAATGAAAATTATTGTCATGAAGTAATATAAAATATATATGAATTATGTAAATGTAAAATATATGAACATAAAATATAATTTTAAAATATATAAATAAAAAAAATATAAATAAAAATAATTATTACAACTTAATATAAAATATATGTGAAATATATTAATTAAAAATATAAACATATAACATATAAATTCAAAATAAAGAATATAAAATATATGAATGAAAATTATTGTCATAAATTAATATACAATGTGTACAAAATATGTAAATGTAAAGTATATAAATTTAAAATATATAAATTTAAAATATTTGCATGAACATTATTATTGCGATTTAATACAAAATGTATATAAAATATATAAAAATATAAAATATTTGAATGAAAATTATTGTTGTAAATTAATAGTAGTAGTAGTATTTTAGCTTTATTTTACTTCATTTAAAATATTTTACATTACATAAAAAATTATAGCAATTATATTATACATATAAAGCTTATAGCAATAGCATTTTTGCCGTCTGCCGGTTTGTGAATTAATATAAAATGTATATATAAAAGTCATAAATATAAAATATAACAAAAATTATTAATAGCAATTAATATAAAATATATATGAAATATATAAATTAAAAATATATGAACATAAAATATAAAAAATTATAATATATAAATTTAAAATATAAATATATAAAATATATAAAAGAAAGTTATTGTTGTGAATTAATTTATATATATACGAAATGTTTGAATGTAAAATATATAAATTTAAAATATATTAATTAAAATACATAAATATGAAAAATATGAATGAAAATTATTGTTATCAATTAATGTGAAATTTATATGAAATATATGAATATAATAATATATGATATATATAAATATATGTCAT